AATCAAAATTCCGATATGGGTGGCATAACCGGCTGCTTGCCAAGACTGCGGTGGCCGACTCGCTTACGTGGCCGACTCGCTTACCGATTACATTATGTATCAAGCATCAGTCTTTCAGCTGCACCCTAGGGCTTAAACTCTGACCTCATTGGAGTTTACCCTCTATCGCAGATATCGCAGATAAGAGCATCTAGCCAGCTGATCTGCGTGCCAGTGCGCTGGGGCTCTCTGAAGTATCAACTGTGGTGGTGGGTGCATCAGCGGTGGACCACGCGACGCTCAATCTCCCAAAGCGGTAATATGTGTTTTGCCTACTGTAGCCATTGATCAGACGCCACCCTCTAGGCATACATTGAAGCATTGTTGTTCCATACATGGATATTGCTTGGAGAGTCATTTATTGTATCATCGCATGCTAGGATTGGGCAAAGGCATCAAACAGATCACATGCCCGAAAGCCCTGCGTCGCTTTACCGATGCATGGAAGTGCAGTCCCAGTAAACAATCAGCCTCCCGGAATCCCGCGCCTCCAACTACCTAGTTCCTTGTCTGGGACTCGAGAAAAGTACGTATGCTCTCCAATTCGACACTGTTAGAGAGAGACTCTCAAGACACAAAGAGAATCGTCGCCCGCGGAGATTGCGTATACGCCACCCCAACTGACCGGGATGGAAGCATCGTAAGACTCAAAGCATCTGTACGACTGTAGCGCACAATGAAGCGATCAAATTTGCGCGGTTTTCTTCTTGGTGCTTTCGATGACTCTGAAGCCACGGGCGACACACAATCCTCAAGCGGAAAACCCACCGACTTGCCTTACTCCAGACATCCAATGGGGTTTCCTTGTGTTATTCCCCGAATAACAGTTGTCGGCGGGTGGGATGGGGAGATCAGACGGTACCGGCAGCGCTGCCATGGGTGGCGGTCAGCCACCTAGCGAGTCGCGACCCCATACATGCCCAGCCACTGTTGGTTGCTTGGAAGATAGGGAATGAACCATCAACAGATCCAGATAACCACCTGCATGAACTGCGACCGCGCATACAACATGTCCCCAATTGACTCGCTTAGTGTGTGGGACTGGCTTGAGTCATTGCCAACTTGGAAGTTTTGAGTTGGATGCCAAAACTGGGAGGCAGTCTGACTTGTCCATCGGCCAGTTCATACGTATAAATCAGCAAGGAAACACATATTGACGAACTTACGGTTTAGTGTCGCTCACCATTTTCTCCCTGAGGAACGGCGATGAAGTCACGCACGTCCCATCTACTGAGAGGATATGGATGATGGACTTAGTAGTCGTCAAAGGACCCGAGCTGCCACGCGAGAATAATACCGCCCTACCATCCCCCCCGTCCCATTTCCCCTTCAATCTACCTGTCAGACGGCAAACCCATGGGATCGTTCGATCCTAAGTCCCTCTTGGAGCTCGACCATCCGGGACCCTGCGTGGGACGAACGGAACGGGTGGGAAGCCTGGATGGAGGAGGGCAACTTGCCATTTAGTTGACATCTCCATCATCTCTAGACTCTATCTGGTAGCGGGTAAGTTGCAACAGCGTCACCCATGGAGGTTTGCAGCCCAGAGGGAAGGAGAAACGCGGCCCAACCCCTGGCCATCCTTGCTAGCGCCCGTCTAACGATCACTAGAGGCGGAGTCCAAGTGGAGCCCATTAAGGCTGGACCTCCAGAGTCTGCCAGAGACTGAGAGTCCTCGAAGCGGCGTGAGTGCGGTGACTGACTGGTATTTACGGACCTCGGAGCATCTCTAGCACTAATTCGTCTTTAGTTCCTCTTGCGACTCGTTGACTGGATGCCTTCCTCGACGCTGCCCCCCTCTCTTCCTCTCTCCCTCTCTCTCTCTCTCCCCCTTGTACAGTACACCTCAAGATCGGGCGGGATGCGGAAGGTTTAACCCTAGACAGTCATTGTCCTAGGGTGAACTTTGTCGATATGCGCCATCGTCATCATCGGATGTGGTGGGATCGGATCTTGCAATCCCGCGCGACTCGACTGAACGGAGCGTTGCGCCGCAGGATTTAAGGAAGGAGACAGACAGGTGATGCCCAGTGATGAATGACTCCGGTACTGATGACCGAGGATGGATGAGATGGCTAAACTATTCTAACAATCGGGTATACCCTCCGCCGTGACAGTACCATACCGTCCAACTCCCTTATAACTGGGCGCACTATGGCTTTATAGTGTCTGCTGTAGTGCACAAATGGAGTGCGCCTATTGGTTGGGAAAGGGGGTGCATCCCCAAGAGAGCTTAGCACTAGGCCGGACAGTCTGGTCCTGGAATAATGACCTACCTAAGAGAGTTTGGATCATGCTAATTTCCAGCGCTAGAGAAGCAGAAACAGACTGACCCTTTTTTCCGGGTGCAGCACGACAGCGGGATCCAGTCAGGTGGGAGGTAATATATGTAACACCATTACCGTATTCTAAATCTGCTGCTGCAGAGGAAAAACACGGAGAAGAAAAACCAAGAAAAAAAAATTCAGACAGGAAGGATTTTTCCTTTTTGCTCGACCATGATGTAATGAATTGCAGTGTTTGAATCCACCTCTCGTTTCCGATATGAATTGAGTCTCTACGCATCAGATCGAGTGTCGTCATATCAAAAGATTCTGATCAGTGTGCTGCAGTTACCGGCAGAAAGTCTTATATCATCAACAATGGTTTGCCCCTGACATTTTCGGTAGATTCCCACATGCTGAGATTATTGCCGTCTGTCCAGGGCTCAAATGAAGAGGAACCTCGAACTCCTTTTCATTTTCCCTGGTTGGAATGGTGGAGTGCTTCCGCTCCTCGACCATTCCTCGCCAGTCCTGCCTCGGAAAGGGTTAGGGTGGAGAGATGGAGGGAGTGAAAGAGAGGAACACGGCCGTTCGTTAGACTACCTTATTCTTCTTCTTCTGCATCGGGCTTTTATTTATTTGTTTTGGAATCATTTTTGTTGTCCTTCTGGTTTTGGCGACTGTTTTACTTTTAGGGTATTTTGGTCTTCTCGCGCGCGCTCCATCTTATTATTAGTAGCTAGTAATTATACGAACCTCCTCTAGCCTAGCATACGTACGACGAATTTGACACAGACACCTTAGCGGGCATACTAGCAAGTCTAGCACCAAGTGGGAGCGAATGACGATGGCCAGTTGATGGATTACTACGGTGGCAGTTCAGTCAGTCAGTGTTCAACGTGTATGTCCTCCGTACAATCCATCTATCAAGTGTGAGTGAATCTGTGACTGAGGTGTTGACTTGTTAGTGACTCGTCGCCTACTGTTTCTGCGCTTGACCAGTCGCGTTCCGTCAAATCAACACATCGATTGTTCGCCTTCTTTTCTGTCTGTCTGTCTGTCTGTCTGCCTCCCTCACTCATTGCTGCTGCTGCTGCTGCTGCTGCTCCTACTGTTGCTCCTCGCTCCCCTCTTCTTGCTTGGTTTCAACTCCCCTCTTCTCTCCCCTCTTGCCCTCCCCCCCCCTCTTCTCTCTTTCTCTCTTTTGATCTATCACCGCCCAACCCCCCAGCCTCTCGCATTGAGTTGTTGTTGCCCGCATTAACCACCACATCAACCATCAGCATCACCATCGCTCCATTTTCCAGGTGTGATGATCAACAATTCCCGAGGGAAGATACCTATCTCAGTTTAATTACAATCTATAAAGTACAAAGCAACGAAAGTCAAAATTCATACTTTAAGAAAGAATGTCCCTGTCAGCAGCACTACTGTCAACCCCTCCTCAATAAGGGAAAATAAAAATAAAAACTAAATTTATAATAATTCGCATTATTATCGGTCTGGGATCTGCACCATCTCTCATCTTGTCCCAAAATTCGCCCCGTCGTCGACCGCTTCTTCACCACCAAAAAGGTCTCCACGGCCCGGACCCAAGGCCTCGTCTTGGTCTCTTCGGTAGGTAAAGCTGTCACCGCGTCAGGGGTTCCTCTTCTTTTTTCTTTTTTTTGTTATTTACCTCTTTTCTACCAATTCTGGCTTGAAGGCCTTTTCCCTTCTGGTCTTTCTCGGATTCTCGTCTCTTCCTTCGTCTCCTCTTCTCTGTCTGCTTCTCCTACAGTGATTACATCCACCTTTCCCACTTCCTCCTCCCCCCCCCCCCCCCCCCCCCTCTCTCTCTCCCCTCCCTTCCCCAAAAGGCGGTACTCCTCCGATCATCCTTTCGTTTAGCCTGTGTCCACTGTCCACCCCAAAACGGGTCCGCTCCTATCACTACAGTGATCACGTCCAATCCTCTGGGTCTTCCATCTTGTTTCCAGATCTCCTTCTCCTCCACCCTCGCTTCTTGCCTGAGAACTACATGACTACCCCTTTCCCCCTCTTGTCGAATTGTGTTTCGTACTACATTTCACCCTCCCCATCATCTAATCAATCACCCTTCTCACCCCTCGACCTTCCATCATCCATGGGACAAAACTACTTCTTTCGCGGACTCAACCTAGTATAACTGCGAATGATGAGCTCCTGCCTATACTAAACATCCTCGACACTTAACAGGAGATTATTTCACACCCCTCCTTCCACACATTCGTTACGGGGAAGGATATCCGGTCAACATTCCTCTATACCTCCGGGATCCCCCCTCGGCTGACACCACTTACCCCCCCTCCTCCCCCCTCCAAAACACCTATTCGACCTGCAACAGTTCCCTTGGTTTTTCTGCTGGCAGAGACTCGAAAGGAGAGACACCATGACTGTCTGCTATGATCATTCCTCGTCGAGGAGCGTGGCTCCAACCTCCGTCGCTACTCTTGAAGACCGCTTCGAGGTCATCAAAGAGGTTGGCGATGGCAGCTTCGGCAGCGTGGCTGTCGCACGTGTACGGACAGCTGGCGCCAATGTTGCACGAAGAGGGACCATGGTAAGCTCTTTGCCCTGCGCAGATGTCTGATGTGAGGTTGCTGATTCCTTGCTTAGGTGGCGATCAAGACAATGAAGAAGACATTTGAATCATTGACTCCCTGTCTGGAGCTGCGTGAGGTCATCTTCCTGCGGACCCTTCCACCCCATCCCCACCTTGTTCCGGCTCTCGACATCTTCCTTGACCCGCTTTCGCGCAAGCTGCATATCTGCATGGAGTACATGGACGGCAACCTCTACCAACTGATGAAGGCTCGTGACCACAAGCCCCTTGATCAGAAGCACGTGAAAAGCATCCTGTTTCAAATCCTCTCCGGTCTCGATCACATCCATGCTCACCACTTCTTTCACCGCGACATCAAACCGGAAAACATCCTAGTCTCTACATCCGCCCCGAACGACTCCACCTTCAGCCGCTACTCTAACCTTGTCACTCCTCCTTCCACGCCTCCTACCTATACCGTGAAAATCGCTGACTTCGGTCTCGCACGCGAGACGCACTCGAAACTCCCCTATACGACCTATGTCTCGACGAGATGGTATCGCGCCCCCGAGGTCTTGTTACGTGCCGGCGAGTATTCCGCACCGGTGGATATGTGGGCCATTGGTGCCATGGCTGTCGAGATTGCAACTCTCAAGCCACTATTCCCCGGCGGCAATGAGGTTGACCAGGTGTGGCGCGTATGCGAGATCATGGGCAGCCCTGGCAACTGGTACAGCAAATCGGGGGGCAAGCTCGGAGGTGGTGAATGGAGAGAGGGCTCTCGCTTGGCTCAGAAGCTGGGATTCACTTTCCCGAAGGTTAGAAGCATTAGCAATTTTGACATTTCCCCGAGCAAGACACTAACACGATTGCAGATGGCCCCTCGCTCGATGGAAAGCATTCTCCAAGCTCCCCAGTGGCCCGTGGCTCTTAGTCAATTTGTCACGTGGTGCCTGATGTGGGATCCCAAGAACAGGCCGACTTCGACCCAGGCTTTGAACCATGAATACTTCGCCGATGCCATTGATCCATTGAGACCCAAGTCCTCGACCGCCCGCCTTCTTGGTCGCAAGCACTCCGAAAAGGTTCTTAAGACCGCCACCCGAGAGCAGAGCGACTCGCCTACCCTCACCTACAAAGCATCCTGGTTCAGGCGGTCGTTGATTGGGAGGTCTGAGAGCCCGGTTCAGCCCGCGGAGAACGACAACCCCGCTAAACCCAGTGTTACATCCTACCCTTCGGAGCTGCAACCGAGCAAAACCAGACCTGCGCCCATCAAGCGTGCTACCTGGGCCAACGGCGCTCCGATGCCCATTCTGCCTTCTATCAGACCCGTGTCTCCCCTGTCGAACGCAGTCACGGCCCAAGCGAATGCATCCCTGGCTCACTCTGGTGACAGTGCCGGAAAGGCCAGCAAGAAGATCGGTCGGCAGTTGTCGGTCAACTCCCACGGTAATCACTATGCTGATGTCCATCGGCAGGAGGCGGAGAGGGCTCTCAACGGTGGAGGCGCCGTCATTACGCCGAAAGAGAGCTTCTTCTCACATCTCCGCAAACGTGCCCGCCGGTTGTCTGGACGCAATCAGGGTAATGTGTCTGGTGATGATGTCGAAGCGAACGCTGGTTGCATGCCTTGGTCGAATCGGTCCTCGCTTGCTCTGGACTCTGTCAATGTTAGCGAGTCCAAGTCAACCTCGGACTTTGCGGAACTCGACAAGGCTCTGCAGAGTGTGAGGCAATCCATTGATTCCAGCAACCGAGGCAACGTTCCCGTACAGATCACTTCTCATGTGGACGGTAGCAAACGGCAGTCTATGCCCCTAGGTTCCGTCCGAACAATGGGTGACAGCCCTGTCTCAACGAGTGGCAACGGAGCGCCGATTTCCAGCCGGACCCGGCGCGCGATGCAGATGTCCAGCAATCCTATCCACCGCTACGAGACTCCCGAGGAGGAGGACGAGCTGCTGGACGAGGTGCTGCATTCAGCGAGTAAAGCTGCTCGTCGTCTAGCACAGACCGAAGTCACGTCGGACGGCTCATCCCACTACAGCCACCCAGCGGGCGCGAACGACAGTGGCCGCCCATTGCCGAGCCCCTATCCTACTCCATCGCCTTCTGCCAACTGTGACGGCGGCTATTTCGGTCCATCGGAGACCCCTTGTCGACGACTACCGGCTTCCGACGAAAAGACTGAAGCAAACTCGAACCGTCAATGGCCCACCCCACCTTACGACGAGTCCGAATGGACCAAACCCGCTACCACGAAGTTCCTGACCGGATCAGCGACCTACCGGTAGCTCCTTGATCTGGCGGGACAACCCACATTTCTTTTTACTCATCTCATCTCCCCTTGAATATGGTTGCATTTACCAAAAGAAAGTCAGAAAAATGGGTGGTCATGCGCATAACCGGCATTTAACCGAGCAAGGCGTACGGGGATCTGGTGTCTATTGTGTTTTTCATCTTGTGTGAGGACTGGCAGCCTTTTTTCTTCTTATCTTTCATCCTGCGCTTCACTTCCCATACCCGTTTGTATAGCCCGTGGTTCCAGTCCGGGGTTGCCTTTCATTTGTTTGCATTGTTCTCATACCCCAAAGGCCTTATTCATAGATACAGTCGGCCTCGCAACCTGTTTTCGGCATGCCGTTTGTTCGTCTCCCATTCTTTGACCATCTTACAACAACATTTGCACATTGCTTATCCGCTTCCTTGATACCTAAATGCGCGAGTCGCAATTCCGCTCTCCCACCTCTGATCATATCTCTATCTGAACCATTCCCCAACATGTCTTACATACACAAATCACCTTTCCCTTTGTCCAAACTCCCTTCACCCCTATGTATATTTCCTGTGGCACCATTCTTTCAGTCACCCAAACATGCCCCTTCCCCTATTCACCCCTCATTGCGCGGATGGGAAGTGCTCTGGCACTTTTCCCTCAAAATTTCCTTCACCCATTGTACAGTTTATGAATTGGCTGAGGAGCATCGGTGGCTGGTCTGGAGCTTGAACATTCTGTAATATAGGATCATCTCGACGATGTGATCGTCTGTTTATATATATACACAACTAATTCCACAGACAAAGTCTGTATTCTGCACATATCATTTGTCCGAGGAGAGAGAACATAGTAGAGTAGTCCTCGTATAGTTGTCTAACTGATGGAGGTGTAGAGGATCAGAGATCTAGATCCACTTAACCAGGCGGAACAACCATCCGCCGGCATTCCGGCAGAATTTCCCAAAGCAGCACTACGTCAAAAGGTTCAGATCGCCGTGATTCTCCAATAATTCCGCGAAACAATCCGGCGCGAATCGCTGCTCGTCTCAACAGACACAGCAGGGCTTTTCTAGTTAGCGGACATCTTGCAGAGTGGTGTGACAGACTCTCGCCGCCTGAACACACAAAGCCAACAATTACCTAGAGCTAGTCCTAGCATCTGAGTTCTTTGGTTCATCTCTTTCGGTGCTCCAGGGCTAGCGACAGCAGCGGGGACTGCCTGCGGCCTTGAAAATCTCTCCGCAACCTCTGCCTTAATTCCGAAATCTCAGAACTACATCTCCCCTGCCACATACATACATATCTTATTCAAGATGTCCACCCAACGACAAGCGACCTCCGCCTCGCAAACCCCGCACATCTCGCCCGCCGAGCTCGCCTACCTTTACACCTCGCTCAGCCTCCCAGACGGCCCCATCCGGCCCGACGGCCGCTCCGCCACACAATTCCGGCCGCTGACCGCCGAAACGGACCTGCTGCCAGGCACGAATGGGAGCGCGCGCGTCGGGTTCGCGGACGGGACGCAGGCGATCGTCGGCGTGAAGGCCGAGGTGGAGCGGACGGTTGTGGGCGCCGGTCAGCAGCAGGCCGCTACAGCGAGCGCGAGCGGGGATGGTGAAGGGAACGACGGCGAGGAGGGTGCTCCGGCGGCGGGCCACGGGTCCTGGGTGCAGATGAGTATCGAGATCCCCGGGTTTCGCGACGATGATGCCCTCCCTGTGTTCCTGGCGGAGATGATGCGCGAGCCGTTGGTTGAGAGTGTTTCTTCGTCGGCGGCGGCTGGGGATGGGGATGGGGAGATGGAGGGGGGCTTGAAGGGAAGGCTGGTTATTAATCGGAGGTGGCATTGGAGGTTGTATATTGATGTGAGTTATCTTTCTTCCCTCTGGAATATGGTATTAGGGTGTTGGGGGTGGGTTAGGTACGGCCTGACGGACGGTGCTAATGTAACTCTGCTAGGTATTACTCCTCTCGCAACCTCTCTCCTACCCTCTCCCGCTGTTGTCCCTGACGACTCACCTGGCGCTTCTGGCGACGAAACTCCCCAAGTTGAAATCCAAGGGCGAGGAGGATCCGTTCTTCGATGATGATTGGAATGCCGCTGAGTATCTGTATCCGAGGGTCTCTTCTACAACTTCTTCAAAGCTCGGTGCCGCGCCTTCACCGGCTCAGCATGTCCGTCCCCCCGTTACCTTGTTGGTTATCGCCGTCGGCGATAATGTTATCTTCGATCCCAATCGCGAGGAGATCGCTGTCGCTGATACCGTGCTGGCTATCTCGGTGACCCGCGATGGCGGGGCCGACGGCGGCCTGAAGCTGTTGTCTATCCGCACGATCGATCCCCCTTCGCGACTGACGCAGCCGGGCGTGCCAAATTCCGAGAATGTGGCTACGCTGGGGGCCGCGGCTTCGAACGCTGGCTCCGAGGAGCAACAGCAGCAGCAGGCGGTTCTGAATCCCGTGACGGGTGAGGAGGAGGTTCCGGGTGTGTGGAGGCCCCGTCGTGGTGGGGTTAAGAGGCGGACGGTGGCTCAGATGGTGAAGTTGGTGCTGGAGAAGGGTGGGGTTGGGGATGAGGTTCTGGAGGGTTTGGAGGCTGTGGAGGTTGGTTGAGAGGTTGCTCTGGGGTGAAGTTTGGTGCTTTGGTGGAGACAGAACTGTTATCGCGGATGGCGGGGGTTCTATGCGCCTGTTCACAGGGAATGACAGCGGGCGTGCGTCTAGCTCCGTGATAGACCCGCCGATGAAAAGCCCAGGTGGACAATATCGAAGCAAACGATCCATCATGATAACCATCAAAGAGAATAGAAGGCTAGCTAGTATTGTACATAGAGATAAGATATCAATAAAGTTTCACCATCCGCATCCTCACCTTACAGAACCGAATCCAACTCCAACACATTTCCATGATTTATGACCACCTACCAAATCCCCAGCCACTTCTTCACAGGCCTCCTCTTCCCCTCCCAATCAACAAACGTCGCATCCGCCCCCTCAACCTGAACATCCCTAGCAACAGGCGACTGCTCATCCACAGCCTCCTTCCCAGCAGCAGCCACGGGAGCAGCGGCAGCACCCTCCTCAGCCTCGGGCGCCTCCTCCAACCCATGCGCAATCCGATACTGCCTCCTCTTCTCCGCATCCTCGACGCGCTGCCTCCGCTTCTCGCGCGTCAGCTGCGACGAATGCTCGACATGCATCCGGAACACCGAGAGCGCCGTGCGCACCGTATCGATTGGGTGCGTCAACAGCCCGGACCACGGCGGGAGCAAGTGCGCGAATGGCGACGATTGCTTGAAGTTCGTGGTGAATGTGAATGTTGCTAGCGATGTGAGGACGCCCTGTGTGTGAATCCCGGTGGGATTAGCATTGCGCTTCATTCCGATCCAACCCATCGCGGTTCAATCCAACCAAACAGAAGAACTCACCATAGCAATCCAAACATGAATCCCCCTCGAGGTCAAAAACTTATGCGCCACCGTCCCCTCCGGCGGGAACATATTGGGATACTGCTTCTTCCGCTGCTCCGCCTTCTGGGCTTCCGTCAGCCGCGGGCCGTAATTGACGGGCTCGGCGGCCGCCACGCGGCCATTGCTGGTGCGCACGACGCGGCGCTGCGGGTGCGACGGCGGCCGGAATTTGTCCGGTTGCGGGAGGACGATCGGTTTGTCTTTCTTGCTGGTGGATTTGTTGGAGGCGGTCCGGTGAAGGGGTTTTGTTTTGGTGAGGGACTGCAGGGTTCGTCTTGCGGGGAGGCCTCGCGGGAGGAGGAAGGTCGGGATTGTGGTTGGGTTCATTTCTTCTTTGTTTTCTCTTGGGTGGTTTGGTGGAGGGGTTGGGTTTAGATTTGGGAGGGAGTGGTGGTGGTGTTTGACATCCTGGATGCATGGGTATCGACGCGCTGGGCGGGCAATTTCTGACGGATGGGCGGGCGGTGTGGTCTGGGTCACGTGATATAAAAGCAGAAGCTTCTTGCGATAACTTGTTATCGTTGCAGCGGTTTACTCGAGTATGGTAATTGGGTGGGGAGCTTTGATGATGGGTATGTTGCTCAGGGTATCTTCCCTCTAAGTAGATGCGCCGTATACATGGAGACGGTAGCTGGCGCTTCTACGGCTACAATGCGCATTTCCCAGAGTCGACGCGGCGGCACTCTCTATTTACTTCATTTGTTTGACTTCCAAGGTTGCGAGGTGATGTTGATTGTTGCTACGGAGCGGAACAACCTCCCCCCAGTGCCAAGTCGGTCAGACTCGGAGGACGAATGGCCGTCCAGGTATTTGCAAAGCTGGAGCGCTCCGTACCTCCGATCGCGTCGTCTTGTGTGTGCAACTGGTCCAACAAACAAATGATGTAGTTCTTTCACCATTCTCATATCACCCTCGAGTCCCATTGTTCAGTCTCTTCCTGAACCGTTCTTCGAGGTTTCCAGTTCCTAAACATATCGAATTGACCGATTGGTTGCGGGATCCCGACGGTACGGCAGGCAGAGTCAGCACAGCAGGAATGAGCGTAGGATGAGATCATACCGTGCCTTGGAAGGGTTTGCTCCCGTCGGAATGAAATGGCAACACCTCGACAAAAAAAAGTTGATAGACGACTGAGCATGGGAATTACTGCTATAAACTAGCATAGACTGCTATAGATTGATATATAGGGCCATTAGACTCGACTGTAGAGCCATTGATACTGTCTTTGGCTATGCTTCGTACCTGATGATCTCATCTGCGACCAAAAAAGACACCGGCATCTGGTCCCGGACGCGCCCGTTGCGCTGAATCATCGCGGCGTTGATTGGCCAGTGCCCGGATCACGGGAAAGGACTGTTGGGGGCAAACGCCGGCCGCTGTTCCCAGTAGGTACAAATTGCAATCGCAAGTTTTTCTTTCCTCCCCCTTCTGCTTCCCTTCTTCCCCCGGAATCTCCTCCGCTCAATCCCAATTCCTCTGTACTTTACTTTATACCCCTTTTTAATCACCTCACTTCTCCCTTTACACATTCAAAATGGGCAAGGACGCTGGTTACGCTCCTGGTAAGCACTCCCTTCCATATCCTCCATCTCGGTGTTGCGGCTCGTCAAGTGTGTTACCGGTCATGCACGGGTCGCCTTGAACACTCGGCTCGAACACGGTGTCTTCGGGGCGGCCGGATGCATGGGGCGGCCGTCTGGCGACGCCTGGTGCTTTTCTGTGTTCTGATCATGGGTTCTGAGTCGGTGTTGTCATTTTGACAACCTAGCGCTGCTCTGTCTCTTCCACCACCACTGCAGAACCCATGAATCAAGGAACAACAGACTGCGTCCAGTGATAGACCCGACGTCATGACGAGCTTCGACACCTACTGTTTCTTACCACCATCCACATGCGCGAGGCCGAGCTGGAAGCGGCAGAAAAGCCCCAGCAGCTGGCAAATCGCCTGCGCACGCAGACAGCGGCTAACATCTCCGGTTCTCCAGGTGACTCTGCCAAGGGTGCCAAGCTCTTCCAGGTGAGTTAACTACGTCTTTCGTCCTTGCATTGAGAGGACTTGCCACCGCTTCAGTATCAGTTGGCTGACTTTGCGCCTCCCAGACTCGCTGCGCTCAGTGCCACACCGTCGAGGCAGGTGGTGCCCACAAGGTCGGCCCTAACCTCCACGGTCTCTTCGGCCGTAAGACCGGTTCTTCCGAGGGTTACTCCTACACCGACGCCAACAAGCAGGCCGACGTCACCTGGGATGAGAGCACTCTCGTAAGTCTTTCTCGCGAACAGCGCGCGACCTGTGAATAGCCCGACTGACATGCTTCCTTCCAGTACCCCTACCTCGAGAACCCCAAGAAGTACATCCCCGGTACCAAGATGGCCTTCGGTGGTCTCAAGAAGGCCAAGGAGCGCAACGACCTCATCACGTATGTTCATTCCTGCCACCTGCTAGGGTGCAGCCAGCTAACGGATCTGCCCGAACAGCTACCTCAAGGAGAGCACCGCTTAGATGTTTTCATCTATGTGAATCCTTCTAGATCCCGATCGAGATGCGCGGGGTGGTCTCGATTCTGCGCGCTGGAAACAGCCGGTCATTCGGCCATCTTGCCATCGCGATTGGGTCATGTAACATTACCATCTGTTTACATGCGATAGACTTTGGGATCTTCGTGCGATGGAAGAAAAAGAGGATGCTATAGAGTCTTTTGCCTCCCTCGCGACCGCTGTCTACTACACATATTCCCGATTGATGTTTATGGCTATTTCTTTTTTATTTTTTTTTCTTTTGTGACCGATGGAATGTCCAACTTGGTGTATCATGGTATCCATCTTCTGTGAGACTATAATGAAATAAGATCTCCTCTCATGACGCCACGCGCACCGATAATGTCTTTTAGAAGTGTCCACAAGTGTCCTTGAGTGTTCTCGAGTGTCCTAAAGTGTGCTAAGTGTGCTAGGTGTGTCTGTGCTTTACAGTAAATTGATGCGTTGGCCGAGTCTGGCGTTTCAGAAGAGGCCATCACGTGCGGGCTGGGCTGGCGGTCGGGCAATCCCTGATTTTCCCGCCGTTGCTGGCCGAGAATCGCAAATCCATCAATCATCGCGACTGCAACGGCAATCTGGCGGATGATCCTTGCAGCCTGGGAGAAGCCCCTTGGCGCCTTGATTGGACCAGTTGTCCTGCGACAACCATGACCCGGCTCCTCATGGAGCAAGCACCTTGGTGCTTAGTTGGGGAGGCCTCCTCAGACACTCACATACTGTTCCATCTCCGCAGTGCAAGTCATGATGCGAATGCTGCCAAACCCCCGTTCCCCCGCCATTCGGATAGTTCGGGCGGGCGTTGAAACTATGGCATTTCCATCTGGTCGAGATATGAGATAGTTTGGAGGAGATGATACTGTACCGTCCTCTGGATGCACTGTGGGATGACCACGTATGACGCGGATCGGAAGAGGTGCCCGGTTTGTGGCGTGGCAGTAGGCATGATGGGCCGTGTCGATGCTACTGGGAGTCTTCTGTACTGTACGTCGGGAGTAACAGGCTTCTCTCCTTTGCAGCACACTTCAGCCACAGCACAGCACAGCACAGCATCCAACCCTCCCCC